ATCGACAAATTTTGTTCAGCGATGAGGCTCATTTCTGGTTGAATGGCTTCGTAAATAAGCAAAATTGCCGCATTTGGAGTGAAGAGCAACCAGAAGCCGTTCAAGAACTGCCCATGCATCCCGAAAAATGCACTGTTTGGTGTGGTTTGTACGCTGGTGGAATCATTGGACCGTATTTTTTCAAAGATGCTGTTGGACGCAACGTTACGGTGAATGGCGATCGCTATCGTTCGATGCTAACAAACTTTTTGTTGCCAAAAATGGAAGAACTGAACTTGGTTGACATGTGGTTTCAACAAGATGGCGCTACATGCCACACAGCTCGCGATTCTATGGCCATTTTGAGGGAAAACTTCGGAGAACAATTCATCTCAAGAAATGGACCGGTAAGTTGGCCACCAAGATCATGCGATTTGACGCCTTTAGACTATTTTTTGTGGGGCTACGTCAAGTCTAAAGTCTACAGAAATAAGCCAGCAACTATTCCAGCTTTGGAAGACAACATTTCCGAAGAAATTCGGGCTATTCCGGCCGAAATGCTCGAAAAAGTTGCCCAAAATTGGACTTTCCGAATGGACCACCTAAGACGCAGCCGCGGTCAACATTTAAATGAAATTATCTTCAAAAAGTAAATGTCATGGACCAATCTAACGTTTCAAATAAAGAACCGATGAGATTTTGCAAATTTTATGCATTTTTTTTAAAAAAAAAGTTATCAAGCTCTTAAAAAATCACCCGTTAAAAGAGCACCAACCCAACTCGTTTTAAATTTGAGTATGTACGTTATAAAATATGTCGTTGTGAAGTGCACAGATGCTTTTTCATAATCAAGAAGAAAAAAATTTAATTTTATGTTGGCTGTGATGGTAATTGAACCCAGACCCTCTTGGCAGCAGCCAATTGTATCAAGCGTCTTTGCACACTCATCTACAGCCATACATGTAAATGTGTTTTCAAATGTTGAGTTTGAATCAACATCACAGCGCGCGATTAGTGCATTTGTACAGATAAACATGTACCATCCCAGCCAACAGTTAGTTAAATTTTCCGTTTCCGAAAACGAAAAAGCTCCTACAGTTATCATCAATTTTCGTAACCGGAAAACGTTCGAAAAGATGATGTCATTTGAAAACAATAATTGTATTCTATTTTCTCAAGCTAAACATTTGAAAGCATGCATGCGTATCGGCAGTGGCTGAGCGTGCAGAGGAGTGTACCGCTATTTGTTAGCTTCCAGAATGTGCCGGGTTCGAATTCCGTCAGGCGCTTCCTAATTTTATTTTATTCCTTTGAACGATGAAAAAGTATCTGTGAAGTGGAGAAGGAAAGCGTATTGAACGAAAAATTCTATCAGAAAAAACAGCCAAAAACGTATCCGTTTCTCATACTGTTGTCTGTACGTACGTTTTTGCCACACACAATAGTGGGAAAACGGATCGTGAAAGTATCCGGAAATTGAATCAAAAATCCGCACGTCATCCACTGTTTTGTCCTTTTTCGGATCGGTTTTAGAATTTTTTGCTGGCTGGGATGTATGTGTGTATATGTTGTCACCGCTGTGCATGCTTTGTATACATATACTTTCTTAATTACATATGAAAAAGCATCCGAGACGTGCAAAACGCCATCCGTGCAGTGAAAAATGCTTCATTTTAATACGGGCGTATTTGAATTGAATATTTCCATTATACGTAGTGTACAAGATTAAGCCGGACTAACAAGTCGTACCATGAGCCATCCCCTTAAGCATAAGCATTTGACGTTTAATATTCACACTCTCTTTTGTACATCTTACCTACATACAATTGTTTTGCAAAATACATGGCGTTAGGAAATCACGCCACTATACCGTTTGGAAAACATTCAGCGGCTGCTATAAAGGGCACTTCCAATAAAATAAAGTTCTTCATTCGCTTTTGGTGCGTATAACATATCATAAACGATCTTTTCATTTTCGCATACAGTTTTTGGTGCCTCCTGTGAGGAACCTGACAATTGCGACCAAGTGCTAACTTTGCAAGCCATTAAAGGGTATTTCGTCGGAATAATGGCAGCGATTAATTTGAGAACTGCGGCAAGGAGCTCCATTTTACGAATTAAGGCGGAGGTCGGAGCTGAGGGATATGCTCCCGATACGGTGCAGATTGATTACACCATTAGCACGCTATCTGGACACTACAACCGTTTTTTGGAAAATCACCTGGCGTTAGTGGGCGAAGCGACTCCAGATGAATTGGAGGCACACGACAAGTTACTTTCTCAAGTGGAGAGGATCCACGGTAGTATCGTTACCAAACTGCAACGCATGCGAGCTGCTGTAACCACTCCGTCGAATGCTGCGCCCGTGCGGTGCCAATCAGAGCACCGTTTGGATCCGGTCAAGATCCCAGCATTTGATGGTCAACCGGAAAACTGGTTGATGTTTAGAGACATTTTCGAATCATTGGTGCACAATCGCACCGATCTTGACGAAAGCTATAAACTCAGTCGATTGAGGCAATGTGTTGACGCTCAGGCAGTACACATGGTTGGTGGAGTATACACGGGGGGCTACAGCCAGCTATGGGCCGAGTTGAAAAGGCGATATGATAATCCTCGGCGCTTGGTTGAGTCGCACGTGTATCGGCTATTAGACTTGCCGGAACATCCAGTTCTAACGCAGCGCAACGTTCGCAAAGTTATCGATGTGGTGCGCAGTACTTTACGTGCCCTGAACGTGATGGGTCTGGCAACAGACCAATGGGATGCCATCGTTTATCCCATAGTCCTCCGCAAACTACCAACTCCGGCTGTCTCACACTGGACGGGTTTAAACCACGCCGAAACATTAATGCTGGAGGAGATCGAGACTTACGCGGATACTCTGAGATGCGACCCCAATGTGTCACTCCGACCGTCATCAGCGCGCCGTATGGCACAATCACATGTAGTTACCTCGAAGTCTCCGAACGCAACCATGAAATCGTCGCTGGCCTGTCCACGGTGCGCGGAACCACATCGCCTGTCAATATGTCCACAATTTCGAAAGTGCAGCTCAGGAACCTGCGACAACTGCAAACAGAAACACAACACCTTGTTTTGTAAGGCTTCTTCATGCAACGAGAAGTTACCTGCAACCACCAGTGCGGCAGCGCGACCAGCCCCCGCATTTGAAACATCTGTCGGCGCCATTACGCCACAGGTTTTGCCTCGCATAGATGCGGTGCAGTCTCTCCTGGCGCAATCTGAGGGGATCGTCCTTCTGGCCACAGCTAGAGCTCCACTTTTAGACAAGGTGGGGGAAGAAGTAGCCTGCCGTATATTATGCGACATGGGTTCACAGGTAAGCTTCATTACAGAACGATTACACAGAAGACGGTACCCGCTTACGGTAGAAGGAATTGGCTCTCAGAGGGTGACTTCGTCGCGTGGCCAGGCGACTCTGGTGATGCGCTCATACCACGATGCCACGTTTGAGTGCACCTTTGAAGCTCATATCCTACCACAAATAACTTCGGAGATTCCTGCGTCGCCAATAGACATTAACCACTATCAACATTTGCAAGACATACCACTAGCCGATCCCACGTTTCACACTCCAGGGAGCATCGATGTTCTCATTGGAGCGGACATTTGGGGTATGTTCCTCCTGGGGGAAACAATCACTGGTGGGTCTAAATAGCCGTGCGCCCTGTCCACCCGTCTGGGGTGGGTCATTTGCGGACCTGCGTTCCCACGCTGTACGTCGCTTCCAACTTTACGCGCGTTACCGAAATTCGCCGCGGAAGAAGAGCGACTAGATGAGATACTGCAACGTTTCTGGGAGCTGGAGGAGGTTGGCCGACCCCCAGCTGTTGACGACCTTAGCGAAGATATTTTCTGTAAAACGGTATCGCGCAATAGCGATGGCCGATACGTAGTACAAATCCCATTTTCACCGAATGCATCAGCTCTTGACAATTCATATGTCAAGGCATTTAACCAATTCCTCAATCTTGAGCGCCGCTTGAGTAATGATGATGAGCTACGTAACAAAAATATTCAGTTCATGCGCGACTATGAGGCACTCGGGCACATGGAGAAGATAACACCGCAACCAGGCGACCCATCCCAGGTTTATTATGTACCCCACCATGCCGTCACGTCGAAGTTCCGGGTAGTTTTCAACGCCTCTGCGAAGACAAGCAATGGCGTTTCCTTAAACGTTACTCAGCTAGTTGGTCCGCCCATCCAGAATCCACTTGCCCCCATTCTTCTCCGGTACCGTCGTTTCCGTATAGCTATCACTGTTGACATCGAGAAGATGTTTCGGCAGATCGAAGTTGATTCCAGACATAGATGTTGGCAGCAAATTTTCTGGCGGGAAAGCCCAAGTGATCCTCTCGGTGTGTATCAGTTAACGACGTTAACTTACGGTATGGCTTGCAGTCCTTTCAATGCGGCACGCGTCTTGCAGCAGTGTGCCAATGAAAACCAATCAGCAGGTAGGTGCAAACCGCCACTCCAATCCGAACTTTCGGAATTGATAAGTACCTTCGACCAACAAGAATTGTCTGATGCTGGGGTTCGCTGGCACTTTATCACTCCAGCCGCGCCCCATCAAGGATGCTTATGGGAGGCGGCAGTGCGTTCGGCGAAGAAGCACTTGAAACGGGTAGTGGGAGACAGCGTACTTACGTTTAATCAACTTAGTACCCTGCTGGTGCGCATTGAGGCCTGCCTCAACTCAAGACCCATAATTGCGCTCCACGATGATCCTGATGGTGGTCTCGCATTATCGCCTGGAAGTTTTCTCATCGGCCGACCTTTGAACTCCCGTCCAGAACCCGCCGTTCCAGAGGCTCCAGATAATCGTCTTAAATACTATCAGCGACTTCAACGCATGCTGCAACATTTTTGGCACCGCTGGAAGGAAGAGTATTTGGTGCAACTGCAGGCTCGAAGTAAGTGGGTAAGACCTACACCCAATGTTCGAGTTGGTGACATCGTGGCTATCCAGCAGGAGCATCTTCCCCCATCCCTCTGGCGAATTGGACGCATCACCGAGGTGCATCCGGGGAGTGACGGGCTGGTACGAGTGGTCACCATCGAATATAGCACCTTTGACCGAGGACTGCGCCGTAAGCATCACTGCCAGCGCCCAATCCAACGAATATGCCGTATACTTGAGGCTGATGAAGGCATACTAAGTCCACAGGACTCAGCCGGGGAGGGTGTACAAGATTAAGTCGGACTAACAAGTCCCCTTAAGCATAAGCATTTGACGTTTAATGTTCACACTCTCTTTTGTACATCTTACATACATACAATTGTTTTGCAAAATACATAGCGTTAGGAAATCACGCCACTATACCGTTTGGAAAACATTCAGCGGCTGCTATAAAGGGCACTTCCAATAAAATGAAGTTCTTCATTCGCTTTTGGTGCGTATAACATATCATAAACGATCTTTTCATTTTCGCATACACGTAGTGTATGTATAATGGAAATATTCAATTTTGATTTAAATACGAACATTTTCAAACGGTAATCAAATAAAAAAATTTCATTTTTACAACGCGTTTTTTCGCTTCAGTGTTGAAAATAATATTTCTCGGTCGCATAGAATTGGTTTTGATAATTTTTGATTTTGAAATTTTAGTAAAAGTCATTATAAACAATTTATGAGTTTGGAAATGAAAAGCGTGGGGCGCATGTAATAGACTTGAATTGATATGAAAAGTAATACATGTATGTACACATGTGGGTATATGAATAACGATCGCTTAAAATCAATCTGAAATTTGTACTTCCGCTGTAGAAATTTTAGGTTCATGCTATGTAGTTTGACTATTGTCAATTAAATCTTATTCTTTCTATTGCATGCGCTCCATGTTTTTCGTTTTCAATTTCATAAATTGTTTACAATGACTTCTGCTAAAATTTCAAAATTAAAAGTTATCAAACAAATTCTATGGGACTGAGATATATTATTTTCTACTTTTTAGTCCATTTATAAAAGCGTAGTGTTCAGAATAATAGCGATTACGCCAAGTTCGAACACTGTTGTTTGCTTGATTGCTTTCAAGTGATCTTTATTGAATTAATGATAACGTTTTTATACAAACTAAATGCTTACGTAGCTAAATAATAAGGGCATAAAAACTTTAGACCGTAAGCAAAATTATTGTAAAGGCTTTATTCCCACGTTTTGGTTTACATAAGCATAATTAATGCAAATGCTTTATTCCCACGTTTTTGTTGACATAAGCATATTCCACATTTTGCGTCTACTTTTATTTGCGTGCATTAATCAACAATGTCTCATATGTAACTTGACACATGCCAACTTATTTGGCTATAAGAATACACTAAAAGGCATAAAGTGCAAGCTACGCATAGAAGAATGCAAGCGAAAATTAATACCCTGTTGAATAAAGCCAATGCAGTATTAATATGTCGACTTTTCTTATTTAACCCTCTAGTATGCTGAACCGCCTCCAGACGGTCGTTAACTAAACAGTTATTTAGTGCACCTATAATAATTTTTTTCTATATTCGAAAAGCACGATCTTTAGAAAAAAAGCGTACCTTTACAACGATGTAAATTTTAATCCGTTATATCAATCCGTTTTATTTTAATCGGCAGTTGAATCACAGATTGTGAAAGACTGGGTTAAAATTAATTATTTCTTGCTGTTAAGTAATTTCGTAATTAAAGAAATTTTTTCTTTTGAAACATTTTTTGATACAAAAAAATTCACTGGGTTTCGTAGTTAAAAGCACAGTATTTTGATATAAGTTTTATAATTATGTCACCATTCGAAATGGAGAAAATTGCTTTCGAACACAGACCGTCTACAGACCGGATTGCCGACATATAAAAACCCAGTTTGCATTTTTGACCGTCTGCAGATGGGATTGCCGGCTCGTAGATCAAAATTGTGTAAGAGAAAGCTGAAAATACGTCAAAGTATATCGGCGAGCCCGTTTCCAGACGGACTTGGTTTTTCTCCCCTGTAGGAAAAAGTTACTGTCACAGATCGCAATGGACATCATTTTTGGATTTCTCGTGCTAAAATGACCCATTCCTGAATTTTTCAACTCATACAAAAATTGGCCTACTAGAGGGTTAATAACATCCTCCCCCCGGTGAGCGCAGCTCGAATTCCTTAGCAGGTTCTGTCCTAAATGTTTATCGTAAAGTCCAAACTTCCTTGAGAATGTCGAGGCGCAGGTGTGGGTTTTTCATTTTGATCGGATGTGGTCGCAGTCGTGGATGCGTGCAATGTTTCCTGTTTGGCTGTTTTAAATTTTCTTTTGACTAGCATGAACACCAAAAGGCACAAAACTGTAACCAAGGCAGTGTACCCAACCGTTATGTGGTGCGCATTTTGTGCTTCAACTTTGTTCCGGAGTTCTAATATGCATTGATTGGCCAATGATGATTGAGGTTTTGTATTTGTGTTATGTATTTCTCATCATCCCGTGATTGAAGAAGAGGCTTTATATGTTCTGCTGCAGCTACTTCGGAAATTTCTCCCAGGCTAGTGTAGGACGAGCAAAGACTCGTCGATATCAACTGATCTGCTTGAACTGATATAAAGTTATGTTTGAGTATGCAGTCTGGTTGGAGTGATAACAGTCCTGATCCTTTTAGAATCACCTGAATGATTTCTTTTCCACATACTGCGGTTGCACGAGATGAAACTGACGTGGCATAAATCCATTGATTTTTATGCTGTAGTGATATCCATGCAACATCGTTTGGTGTTTTTCGCAGTTGACAACTTGACTGGGTGTTGTTGTTGAATAAATTTACTTCACATGCGCATTTAGATGAACCGTGACTATAACGAATTTGAATTTTAGAACAGATGTAATTTCCATTTTTAATATCCATACAAGATTGAAATTTGGAGATGCTCAGCAGGAAATATTGACCGAGAGCAGTGTTTATTGCCAAAACTGCAGCACACGGACTTATTTCAATCATAGTCCCATTAGTCCAAGTAGGAATTGGTAGCAGATTGAATAAGTCATATCGATCATGCTCTACCAGAGGCAATGTGATGCTGAATACAACATGCTTTTCTGTAAGTCCTCCCTTAACCGTCATGAGTTGGTATAGCTGGAGTAAATCTTCTTGGTTTACAGGCAGTTCCAATGGTGCTGATAAGTGAAGTTTAATTTTGTTTACTTCGTCTTGCAATTGGCTGGGCGTCAGCAGAAGAGGACTTATTTTTCCGTGATGAGTATCTATTAGAACGGCTAATATTGCAGATTGCATTCTTTTCAAATTGGCTGCCACAAGTGTGAGTTGGATGGATAACGAGGAAAAGATTCGAAATAATTGTTCTTGGTATATCTGATGCGTGTCGTTGCTGATCCTCTGGAATATTTGACTCACTTGTTGATCAATGATGTCGAACTTCCTCTTGACCGCTTTTTGATCCTGCTTCAAAATGTTGATGGTTGAGTCCACAATGGATGTTTGATTTCTGATCAGGTGCAG